AAAAGAGATTAAAACACGGTTGCCCAACAAATATTAAAAACTGGCTGTTTCCGATTAAAAGAAAGTCGAGAATTATCAAACCCTTGAACACAAATCACCATCGAGAAAGATGCCTTATTAACCATTTAATGCCCAAACAATTTTTTTGTCAATTGCACCCAACTACACTCAATCGTGCCTCACAGCAGTCTGTTACCAACGTGACGGGTTTTGTGGTATCAGACGAAGGCTATAGACCTATTGAGCATGTTTCAAACGGCAATAGTGTTTTCTGTTACTAGTCTAGTACCAGGGGAGCTTATTTTGAAGGAGGATCGTACGGTCCTTCAGGACGTTAAAGGGTTCACTTAATTCAAATACGTTATCATTCGCCAATGTTGTGATAATGTTGTTAACCCAGTCATTTAAATCTAACTACATCATTCTCAGTATGCTAGTAAATTTTAAACCTTAAACACAAACAAGATAGAAATTTAGTCTAGGATCAATATGGATGCAATAGTGGATAAGAATATAATTTTGCTATCGATAACAGCTCCCTGTTTCCAGTCCCCATCAACTCTCACCAGAAAGTCGAAGAGGCCAGATAAAAGGACGATTGAGTGTGACCCAGTTTCGCATAGAAATATACATGAGCACGCCAATTCTGTTAAGTATTCAACCATTAGTTTAAATTCGAGAAATACTAACGGACCAATAATATATTAGTTTCCAAAGGTAGTCATAGTCCTCCCGAATTCTATATTAACGCGGGATTAAGCAAACACCTCTGATTTATTCAAAACCCCATCTTTTTTACTAAGATCGAAGTTATGTAAGATTTGGAATTAGTGATGAAAATTCATACTCATTTGGGCCCACACGGACCACTTATCATTCTGGAGATATCCTCAACCAAACTGTCAATATTACTATGGTCTGTGCCTGTCATTCGCCTTTCAGATGCAACAAATCGACCAGAGATTCGAGCATACCGACGATGTACGGGCTAACGCGGGAATTCGGTGACCCATTTCGCTCTACTCATAATATCATAAGCTTTCCTGATAAAATTTAAAAATGATCCATACAAATCTATATGGATTAGATTTTATAAGTAGTATATTCATATATATTTTTCTTTTACCTGAGGTGTTAAAAATACTTCCATGTTAATAAATTTCATCTTATAATAACTTAAAGTTAAGCAGTTATAATTGTGAGGTAGATTATAAATAAAGAATAAATAAGCACTCACAGAAATTCCTAGAACGAAACAGGAAGACCTGTAAGTACTTCATTTAGCCAATCGAGTGCTACTGTAAGGAAGAGGCCAACTCCAACAATCAAATTTCTCTTCTAGGCGGAATGCGACAAAATTCAGGAAAAATAGTGTATCTGGAGGATAGAGAAAAGGCAAAAACCCTGCAACAAGTTGGATGGGGCATGAAACAATGAGAAAGAATTTATTTATTTATATCAAATGGCAGGCGTTTTGATAGTCATCATTAGCCCTTTAGTTGACTTCAGGCTTCACAGAGAGGAAAGAAAAAAAAATTGAAAAAAATCGAGATGGAGGGGGGGGACAGAAGAGTGTTTAAAAGATGTAAAAGGGATAGACACAAAGGTAAAAAAATGTGAGGTGAGAACCGTGGAAGTAGTCCAATGCGATATAGAGTGGGGTGCTGGTAGCTTGAAGTGAGAAGTCAACTGCCAGTTAATAGACTTTTTGCGTTGAAGTCAGAAGTCAACTGCCGGTTAATAGAATTTTTTTGCCGATAGTTTGAAGTCAACTGCCGGTTTATAGACTTCGAATATGACATAGAGAAGTCAACTGCCAGTTAATAGATCATGGTAATTGAAGTCAGAAGTCAACTGCCGATTAATAGACTTGGGGTCATGATAGTTTGAACTCAGAAGTCAACTGCCAGTTAATAGACTTACTCATGGTAGTTTGAAGTCAACTGCCAGGTAATAGACTTTAGTTTGAAGTGAGAAGTCAACTGCCGATTGATAGACTTTTATTTGAAGTCAGAAGTCAACTGCCAGTTAATAGACCTTTTCAGTCAGAAGTCAACTGCCGGTTTATAGACTTTTTTGCCGTTTGAGTAGTCAGAAGTCAACTGCCGGTTAATAGACTTTTTTGTGAAGTGAGAAGTCAACTGCCAGTTAATAGACCTTTTTGCGTTGAAGTCAGAAGTCAACTGCCGGTTAATAGAATTTTTTTGCCGATAGTTTGAAGTCAACTGCCGGTTTATAGACTTCGAATATGACATAGAGAAGTCAACTGCCAGTTAATAGATCTGGTCATGGTAGTTTGAAGTCAGAAGTCAACTGCCGGTTTTGGGGTGATGGCAATTTGAAGTGAGAAGTCAACTGCCAGTTAATAGACTTTTTGCCGTATGAGTATACGTTGCCCAGGGTGCAACACGTGGAGGTATGTCTATCACACACCCCAGCAATGAGAAAGTAGAAGTCACAAATCAGGTGTCAGGAAAAGGAGGTGATCATACACCGAGATAACCGAAAGCAGCAGCAAACTGAAAAGGGCCATAAATGAGCCACGAAAATTCCCTTAGCTTAGACCAGTGTCGAGTTGAGGCTCACTTACTTATTTGGTTCAGACATTTTTGTCCGTACTCGGTAAAAGTAACATTAGCATCAACGTACTTCATTTTGCGGAGATCAAACGTACCCAAATAGGCTCAATTGGTCTAAAACGTCTAAGAGTTACCTTGTGTTTATTTAATGTTGCCCTCTAACTACACATGCTAAAGCTTAGTTACAACTGGTGGGGGTGCGATAGACTTACCTCCACATGAAACAGAAATAAAACTAAAAGCCCGAAATTTGGATTATGGAGAATGAGAAGTTTGTAAATATTTAATTCCACCTTCAGAACTTCCTAAACTCTTCTGATGCTAAATCTGTTAAGTGTCTCATTACCACTAATTCACCCAATGCTCACAATAAACTTGATCGGTTCTGAGTGATGTGTAAACGAAAAATCTATCTAACACGAATAACGATTGAAAGGATGCGAGGACGATAAGCATGCTGCCTATTTTAAGAAAACCGAAAGTTTTAGTCTTATATAAAGCTTATTATGTCTTAAGTTGTTAGGTTCCTGAACATCAAATTACAAACTTGAGTGAGTCAACAGATTTAATTCGGAATGGTGGAAAGGGCCGAATGTGTTCGAAAAAATCTCATGAATGAGCCTATTCTGGCGCGTTAACGTTGTTGAACCCACCGAAGATAGTTAGTTCTTCTTTTGGATAACTGGCTCCTTCTTTGCCAGAGCAACTTTGCATTGTGTCACCTAAATTAACATTTAAAACGAGCATTAGATCCAAATTTGTTTTGATAAATGTCAAGCACAGGTCGGTTAACAAGAATCATACCGCATTTTTCAGGTCAGAATCACTGAGTAGGACGTTGAGAACGAAGGATGGTTTCATATTAAGGATCATTCCTGTGATTTTAGTAGCAAGAACAGGCTCGCCCTCGGCTATTTTG